TGGTGTTTTCTACCTGGTTAGTTACAAGCTTTCACCTAAAAAAAAAAAAAAAAAAAAAAACAAGAACGTGTTCACTTCCTTTGTCTCTCAGGAACTTCCTTCTCCAGAACTTTCTAGACTCTTCCAGCAATAATTCCCTCTCCTTGCTTGATAGATCTGATCCAGTGACTTCTCTGTTTAAGCCCATCAGAGAGTTTGCATCTTTCCAAGACAAAGGCCAGATCCCTTAGCCTCACAAACAAAGCCCTCACAGAAGGGCCCTGCATCTTTCCAAAAACAGGCCAGATTCCTTAGCCAGGCAAACAAAGCCCTCACAGCGCGGCCCTGCCCCGCTTCTTTTTCTCAGCTTCTGTACCTCCCATCTCAAATCCTTCTCTCCCACGCCCTTGAGCAGTTCTTAAACATCTCACAGTCCTTGACCATCCCATGGATTTTCACTTATCCCTGCATAGAATTTCTCTCCACCGTATGCTTGACTGGTTAAACCAGTTGCTGTCGATTACAACTCATGGCTACCCCATGTGTCAGAGTAAAACCGTGCTCCATAGGGTTTACCAAAAACCAAACCAAACTGGATGCCGGCGAGTTGACTCCGACTCACAGCAACACTATAGGACAGAGTAGAACTTCTTCCCCATAGGGTTTCCAAGGAGCAGCTGGTGGGCTCGAATTGCCAACCTTTTGGTTAACAGCCAAGCTCTTAACCACTTCACCACCAGAGCTCTATAGGGTTTATGATTTTTTGGACATAGATCTCCAGGCCTTTCTTCCAAGGAGCCTCTGGATGGATTCAGACCTCCAGTCTTGCTGTTAGCAGCCGAGCATGTTAACCGTTTGCACCACTCAGGGACTCCATGTACTTGACAGATTCTTACAGATCTTTTAAGAACCAGCTCAAAACTTACCGTCTGTGTGGAGGTCACCCTGACCCCTTAGGAGGTGTTGGTCTTCCTTGTTATTTATCATAAGAATAGCTCCTCCTTAATGAGCCACCTCCCCTGGGGAAAACAACTCCATTACATCACTCTCAACAACGCTACAGGAGAGGAATTTTTTATCCCCATTTTACAGATGAAGAAATTGAGATGTAGAGAGGTTAGTTTGCCTGCCTAAGTTCACAGAGCTAGCTGGGAAGCAGCAGAGCAGATACTTGAACAAGGTCTGTCGGATTTAAGAACACGTCTATCTCTCTGGACACTTTGTCCTCCACCCTGACCCCACTGTGACAAGAACCACACTTTCCCAGGCTGTTCTCTTCCCTGTTGTGCCTGAAGCACAGATAAATAAGAGAGCTCTGGCTGCTCACAATCCCACTCAGTCCCTCAAACCCCAGCAAAACGCCAGTGCTGGCTAAAGTTTAACTCTCCTCTTACCTCCCTAATCACCATCGCAGCTGCTCTCCTGTCCACTTCTCCTATCCTTACAAAATTTCTTTGGTTCCTAGGAAGGTATGGGTTTTAGGGTCAGACAGACCTGGACTGGAGACCAGGCTCCCTCACTTACCAGCTTTTGACCTTAAGCACGTTTTAGAATTTCTCCAAGCCACAGTGTTAACCAGGAATGACAATACTATCTGTCTCACAAGGGAAGGTGGTTGTTAGGACTAAATGAGATTAGGCCTTCAGCATTTAGCCTAGTCCCTGACAATAGTAAGTGTTCAATAAATGGTATCCATAATTATCATTATCTTGTTTCTTGGTTTTGCAAATTGCTGCCCAAGTGTTCATGAATAATTAAGGTATGAGCTCATATGAGTCTTAATGTAATTCTACCCAGGAATATTTTCTTTTTAAATAATAACTCCTGAATTTATTTGACCTTCAGAGTTCACAGGAATAAAAATACAGTGGTAAATATCCACCAAGGAGACTAGAAATTTTGGCCAGTCACCATCAAAAGATACTACTTAGGTGACTGCCCCCACACAAAAAAGTTGCCATGGACTCACCTAAAGTGATGGAAGGTGAATCTTGGCTAAGGCTTTCTTTTTTCTTATGCAAAAGATTACTTTGCCCAAATCAAAAACCAAAACCAAATTCATTGCCATCAAGTCAATAGGACAGAATAGAACTACCCCATAGAATTTCCAGGGAGCTCCTGGTAGATTCAAACTGCAGACCTTTTGGTTAATAGCCATAGCACTTCACCACTACACCACCAGGGTTTCCTTGCCCAAACAGAAGACCTTTACACTCTATCAGCATTGCTGTTGTGATTCTGGTTCCTTCTTATACAGACTGCTAGGGCAAAAGAACCATCAAAAACATGCCCCTAAAATACACTGAAGTCTTTGTCTGGATTGGGGTAGGGCATAAGGGTGTAGAAGTTTCAGGACAAAGACAGTAAAAAGAAAAACAAGCCCCTTACCATAATAAAATTAAAAAAAAAAAAAAGACAATGTAATAAGAATGAAGAAAACATAATCCCTCCACACTAAGGCAACTATTTTCGTATTTTTTTTTAATTGATGGTAAAATATATATAACACAAAACTGCCACTTTAACCATTTTTGAGTATACGATTCAGTGACACTAATTACAGTCCCAGTGTTGTACAACCACCACCACCTTCCACTGCCAAAACATTTTCGTCACCTGAAACAGAAAATCAACCTCCATTAAACAATTACTCACCATTCGTACCTCCCCCAACCCCTGGTAACCACTGATCTACTTTTGTCTCTATAGATATGCCTATTCTTGATATTTCACTTAAGTGAGATAGTGCTATACTTGTTCCCTGCCCCTCTCCCTCCCTACCTCACCACCATGTCTGACTTATTTCACCCAGCACAATGCTCTCAAGGTTCACCCAGGTCATAGAACATGTCAGAACTTCACTTCCCCCTATGGCTAAACAACATTACCTCATATGTATAGCAATTCTTGATAAGGAAGGACTTGTGCCATTTTGCTATTTGTTTTCTCTGTCTTATGCCTTTTTTTGTCCTCGTTTCCTTCCATGCTGCCTTCTTTTGTAGTGAACTGTTTTGATTCTCAGTTCCTTTTGTGTAAATTTTTTGTGTAAATGTTTAAGATATTTTCATCAGAGGCTTCTGTATATAAGCCTGCAATCATATTGTTTGTATTTTATTCACTTTCTGTAATAATATTGTCCATGTTTCTACATAAACTTTATAATTATACTTTCTTTCAATGACTGCATAATTTAAAAAAAAGAGAGAGAGAGGGAATATTAAACTGAGCAACAGAAAAGAGATCATACTGAACTTTCCGAGAAAAAACAGACTCCAGAAATTACTATAAGAAATGGAATGCTAAGAATGTTATTCTTCTGAAAACACAAGCTATTTCAACAGTAATGAAATATGAGCAGAAGACCATAAAGAAAGAGCAGGCTGGAATGAGAGTGGATGAGATGCAATAAAAAGGGAAAAAGGGAAAAGGATAAGAAAAAGAAGGATTTTAACATATCCCATAATTTTTTTTTTTAAAAAAAATTCAAATTGGAAGAAGACTGCATACACCTTAAATATCCTATAAATGAGAAGAAATTCACACCTTGAATATACCCTCGGATTTTTTTAATCAGAATGGAAAAGAGAAAAATCCTCAAAGTATCCAGACAGAAAAATTAAGTTACTTACAAAGAAAAAAAGAATACTAGTACTTCCCTCAGACTTCGGGATTTTTCCACATATTTATTGGTCATTTGTTTTTCCTCTTTTGTGACTAATTCCCCGTTGCCGTCAACTTGATTCCAACTCATAGCGAACTGCCCCACAGGGTTTCCAAGGAGTGGCTGGTGGATGCTGACCTTTTGGTTAGCAGCGTAGCTCTTAATGCTATGCCACCAGGGCTCTTTGTGACTAATTAGTTAATGCTATTAGTTATTTTTTTAATTAAAACTTTTTAATTACATTACTGAAAAAAAAATGCGCCACTGTGCAGGAATCCATGTTCAACACTCCACATAATAAAACTGTCATAATTGCTGATGTTCATTGAATGCTTACCCTATACCAGGTATTAAGCTAAATGCCTTACATTTGTTCTATTTAATCCTCATGACAACCGAAAAAGGCAGATACTATTATTTCCAGCATTTTACATGGAAACTAAGGTTTGTTTGGAGCCCAAGCTGCTGATCATTATACCATTCTGTTAACTTACAAAAAGTACTTAAATAACTTTTTTGTATTCCCTTCTATTTCCAGATATTTAGAACCCTCAACTCTTGTAATCAGCGGTGTGTTGGTAAATGGTTAATAATTGACTCTCTGGGGGAGAAAGAAAATCAGTGTTTGCTGATTTCCATAGTATATATACCCCCACCAGGGCTAATTTCAAACCACCAGTGTGATGTCAACCAACTCACTGAATTCCTGAACATTCAACAATCAGCTTCCTAGAGCCGGTTCGCTCTAGCACATCGCTGCTTATGGTCAAAGTAAGACAGTAGGGATTCAAATGCTTTCACCCAGTTTCCTCTAGGTCAGTGATTCTCAATCCTGCTGCACATTAAAATCCTTAGTAGCTGATACAAATCTGATGTCAGGGCCCCACCCTCAAACATTCTGATTTAGTTAATCTAGGGTGTGGCCAGGGTATCGGTATTTTTTTAAGCTCCTCAGTCAGAGTTGAGAAACATTGCTCTTAGAAGAACACATCCTGCTCATCATCTATTCACTCATCAAAGAATTGACAAAGATGTGATAAGTTCTGCCTTATCCATATTAGTTTTTTTTTACTTTAAGTTTTATAGAATGAGTGCCCAACTGTGACTGTTCATAAAATTTTATGAAAACTTAAGTTCATTCGGGAAAGAAACAATTTCTGGTGCCTTTTCCTTTCACTTGAACAGTGACTGACATATAACAGACACCCAGTAAAGTATAGGTATTATTTTGGTGGTAGTTGTCGTCTGCATCTTAAATTTAGTGATCTCTAACAACTTTTATGATTCTTTTATTCATTGGGTATTATAATTTGCACTTGATTGAGTCTTAAATGATTAATACAAATATGTTTGTCCCCAGGACAAAATTTTCTGCATCTCTCCCCAAACAGACCCAAAATCAGGGATCTTCCTTTCATGCGGAACAACCTCGCTCCCCTACCAGACCAGAAATGTAAGTATTATGAATCTTCCTCAGCTTCCTTTGTAAGCATTAACATGTGTAGACATGACTAGAGTTTACTTCAGTTTACTTTCATTTTTCGAAGGAATATCAAGAGCCAAACCTTGTAAATTGCAGGAAAAATAGAAAAAAATCTTTAAAGCTTTTTCCAACATGGTAATACTTAAAAAATAAAAAGAAAATGCGTTCTCTGGAGGAATTTTTGTGTTTGGACTATGAAAACAGTAACAGAAATTTTCTTTGCTATGTATATTGCTTAACATCTTCAAGAAAGTGCCTTAAAAAGTCTTAAGGCTGGCTTCTTAGCATTGGTTTCCTTACTTTGGTGGATGCATGGAAATTTGTGTCACCTCTGTACTCATGGTCCATGCATTCGTAAACAGAAAGGAATAATCGAGTAAATGCCATTCGTCAGTATTCATTTTGGCCTTATTGATTTATAAAATTTTGTACAAAAAACTGTCACAATATAAAATACTTATATATTCTGTTGGGCCAGTGATCTTCAAATTTGAATGTACCTAGGTATCACTTGGAGTGCTTGTTGAAAAGTAGATTCTTGGGCCCTACTCCTAGAGATTCTGAGTTTGTATATCCTCATATACCCATAAGGCAGGTTCTATTATTATTCCTATTGTACAGATGAGAAAACTGAGTTCAGAGAGGTTACAGGACTTGCCCATCATTAGATAATAAGTATCATAGGAGTCCCTGGGTAGTGAAAATGCTTCAGGTGCTCTGCTGCTAACCAAAAGTTTGGAGGTTCGAGTCTACCCTGAGGTGCCTCAGAACAAAGGCCTGGCAATCCAATTCGGAAAAATCAGCCATTGAAAACCCTATGGAACACAGTTCTAATCTGACACGCACAGGGTCACCGTGAGTTGGAATCAAGTCCACTGCAACTGGTTTGGTTTAGAAGCAAAGCCTGAAAAATGACCGGATACTGCGCCAGCTGCCTCATGACACAAACAATATCTACTGGATTCTAATTTCTTTCCTTCCTTTTCTTCCTGTTACCTATGCCCATCCCACTCCCTTTATACAATCTACACATACATGCAAAACACATACACACACACACACACACACACACAAGCACATGCACATGTGCACCCCTTCTATCTTCTCTTAATTGTAGGTTACATGAGTTAGGAGCTGTCTTAACTATTTGAGACAAGTTTCTTAACCTCTCTGTACTTGAGTTTCCTCATTTTGGCTCTGACAATTGTGCCAGCCTGATAAGATTGTTGTGAGGATTAAATGAGATAGCATATGTGTAAAACATACTATTTACACAGAGCAAATGCCCAATATAGCTCTTTCCCCCAGGCTATAGTTTGAAGGGGACCAACCAAGAGTTATTGAACTCTAGGTAAAAAACAATGAACCATGAAGTCTTAGTATAACCCCATCTTTTTGCAGAAACTAAGAGATGGAATGATTATGTCCAAAGTCACACAGAGAGTTAGTAGCAGAAACCAAGACTTCTTCCTCAATAGATCATTTTCTCTGCCCTTCCTGATTTGGGTAAACATGGGAGTTTTGGATGATGTGAGTTATACTATCGAATGAAATCCAAGCCTGGACTTGGCTTTAAACAGAAACCTAATCACAGAGACATCTAGTTAAGGAAAGAGTCACTCAGTCTCAAATCTTGATGCTTAGAGAAGCCAAAGAGAGAGTGTTTTCTTTGGCAAAGCCCAGAAGTTTGTTCACAATTAGATTTCAGAAAAGAAAGGGAAGATAAGGATTTTTTATCAACTTTAGCTCTAGGAAAAAGAAATGGAAGGGCACTGCAGTGCTCTCGCCTTTTGAGGTTTGCAGTCTGCATAAAAGCACAGTATAGATGTCTCGTGGCTTGTTTAGAGCCTCGTGCTGACTTGGCCATCAACTGCTACTCCACCCAAGGAAGAACTCTGCCAGGCACGCACACCCCAATCGTGTTTTGATCAACTTTGACCCAGTCCTGTGTTTTTGCATATTTGACATTCCTGGCTACATACAGAAAGCCTGAATAGATATGCATACACAGCTTTCTCCTGCAGTCCAATTCTCAGCAACACAGAATCTTAGAAATGCCTCCACGCCTTAAGAAACAATGCAGGTCTCCTACCACCATTCCTCCTAAGAAGTGAACTTTGAAATTTCTCATTCTACTCTCTTTCCAGTTCTTTCTGGAGAACCGCTACGCACAAACCGAGTGCTTCCTGCTATCCCAAGCCAACGAGGACACGGCACTCCAGCCAAAGAGGGTGAAAAATCTGCCAATGCCGTCAATGATGAAACTTAACTGTGGGCTGCCGACTGCAGGGACATAGATTAGATGTATTTTCAGCTCTCAGAGGGTGAGATTATTCTAGTTTGTCAGAACAAAGACTAATTTAGTAAGCTGCATTCTATAAGCCATTCACAGTTTTGTAACTCAGAATTCTTTATTCCAAATAAAGATACTTCCCAAATAAACACTGGGAATTTTTTCAAGTGCATAAATTCTAAGTTTGTGAATTTCTGTGACTTCCACATGCCAAAATGAAAAGTCAAAATATGTTATTAGCGGGAAACTTAGCTATGTTTGCTTTGCTTTGTGGCATGTTTGCTGATTTCTTTTGAAAGATTTTGTTTTTAAAAAAATTGTATGCTTTGCTGAATTAAAACACACACACCTTCTAGACTTGTTCTTCACACTTCTTGTAATTCTACCTTTGACTGATGTGACTTAATTAAAATAAAAGTAATAAATTCCTTAATCAGTCACAGTTTATGTCTTTAAATGTGCAATCTTCTGAAAAATATTTTTTAGCATTGTCAGTTCTTGGCTCCAGGAGAGTTAATGACTGCCCAACTGGCTTGACAACAACTTGTATCTCTTCTTTGTTATTTGAATATTTCCACCTATTGTTTTCAGATATGATTGATTGCTCCAGTCATGAGAAGATCATGGAAGATGGAAAGATCTACATCCTGGCCTTACGGAACTGAGTAGGCATTTCTTATACTTTCCTCAAATTCTCTATATACTTAATAATTCATTTTTCTGTTTCAAAGTAATAGTCTCTGCCTACTCAAGGCATTCTTAAATTTATGACTTCTGATCCTTTGGCTAGAGGTCTATAGATATTTCAAGGATTAGCAGCATAAGATGATAGCCCCTCCATGTTATTTCCAAACCTGCAGATTATTTTGTAACTATCTCATGCATAACATTTATTACTTGATATTAGTATTTGTTTAGAGAGACCAGTTTCTACTATTAATTAGATAGAAGCCTCCTTCCTGAATTTATTTATTCAGCCTATACATCTATACCAGTTGCTGTAGAGTCATTTTTGACTTACAGCAACCCCATGTACCCAGAGTAGAATTGATCCATAAGGTTTTCCATAGGCCTCTCGCAAGCAGATCTCTAGGTCTTTTTTCCACAGCACCTCTGGGTAGCAAAACAGTTAAGGCTAGGCTGCTGAAAGGTTGGCGGTTTGAATCCACCCAGCAGCTCCACTGGAGAAAGACCTGGTGATCCGCTCCTGTAAAGGTTACATAGAAAACACTATGAGGCATTTCAACTCTGTCACATGGGATTGCTGTGAGTCAAAAATCGACTCAACAGCACCTAACAACAACAACAACAGTACATCTACACAGGCAAAGTGTAGCTACCATTAATATTTGTGGAAAGTGCCCATCAACCCAGTGATTTGTGCTAAACCAATTAGAGTTGTTGAAAGTTAGGGTTTTTCCACTCATTTTTCCTGGTCCTATAGAGTAATCACCTGGTTAAACACACAGTCATCAAAAAAGAGGAAGACTGTCAACAAGATGGATTGACACAGTGGCTGCAACAATGGGCTTAAACATAGCAAAGATTGTGACGATGGCGAAGGATGGGGCAGTGTTTCGCTCAGTTGTATATAGGGTCACTATGAGTCAGAAGCAACTTGACGACATCTAACAACAACAACACAGGTGTTATTTCTTCCAGTAAACACTTAGCTTTAATGCTCCAGTCTTCCTGGAATCAAGCCAATACAAATAGATTTCTGTGACTCCAGCTTATTATCCCTTTCAACTCTACCGGAGCACAGATTGACACATAATACGTTTTTTTTTAATTATTATTATTTTTTTGTGCTTTAGGTGACAGTTTACAGAGCTAATTAGTTTCTCATTCAAAAATTAATACACAATTGTTTCATGACATTGGTTGCAATCCCCGCCATGTGTCAGCACTCTTCCCCTTCCCACCCTAGGTTTCCCATTACCATTCATCCGGTTTTCCAGTCCCTTCCTGCTTTCTCATCTTTGCTTTTGGGCAAGTGTTGCCCATTTGGTCTCGTATACTTGATTGATCTAAGAAACACATTCCTCACGTGTATTATTGTTTGTTTTATAGGCCTGTCTAATCTTTGCCTGAAAGGTAAACTTGGGGAGTGGCTTCAGTTCTGAGTTAGAAGGGTGTCCAGGGACCATAGTCTCAGGGGTTCCTCCAGTCTCTGTCAGGCCTGTAAGTCTGGTCTTTTTTGTGAATTTGAATTTTGTTCTGCATTTTTGTCCTGCTCTGTCTCAGACCCTCTCCTGTGATCCCTGTCAGAGCGGTTGCTGGTAGTAGCCAGGCACCATCTAGTTCTGGGCTCAGGCTGGTGGAGACTGTGGTTCATCTGGTCCATTAGTCCTTTGGACTAATATTTTCCTTGTGTCTTTGGTTTTCTTCATTCTCCTTTGCTCTAGACAGGGTGGGACCAATAAATGTCTCTTAGATGGCTGCTCTCAAGCTTTTAAGACCCCAGACGCTACTCACCAAAGTAGGATGTAAAACATTTTCATTATGAACTATGCTATGCCAATTGACCTAGATGTACCCCAAGACCTTGGTCCTCGGCCTTCAGCCCCAGTAACTTGGTCCCTCAAGGTGTTTGGATGTGTCTAGGAAGCTTCCACGACTGTGTCCCCATTGTGCTGTATTATATATATGAATATATATGCTGTACATACAAATATGTATGTAAAAATATCCACAGCCTAACCTATATAGGTACGTGGATATACTCCTATACCCCCTCCTTCCTCTATTCAGCATACGTACCTGCCTATGTATCTGCTTGGAAGTTATTGTTTTTACTGTTGTTGTGGGGTTGTATATGCTATAGTATTTGCTGTGGGTGCCTCTTTTTTTTTTTTTTTAATTGTGCTCCTCTAAGTGTCTTCCTTTGCTTTGGTCAAGTTGTGCTGACTTCCCCTAGATTGTATGTTGTTTCCCCTTCACCAAAGTCAACATTCGTCTACTATCTAGTTAGTGGTTTCTCCTTCCCACTCCTCCTCTCTCTCCTAACCATCAATGATTGTTTATTTCTGTGTGTAAACCTTTTCTTGGGTTTTTATAACAGTGTTTCCATACAGTATTTGTCCTTTTGTGATTGACTTATTTCACTCAGCATAATACCCTCCAGATTCATTCATGTTGTGAGATGTTTCATGGATTCCTCATTGTTCCTTTTCGTTGCATAGTATTCTGTTGAGTGTATGTACCATAATTTGTTTATCCATTCATCTGTTGATAGGCACTTAGGTGGCTTCCATCTTTTTGCTATTGACACATAATATGATTTTACAAAACTCCACCAAGTGACTGATTAGAAATATAATGTCGCCTAGAATAACTATTAATATATATATATATATATATATATATATATAAAATAACTATTAATTTTGCTTTTGCCTCTATTCTTAGAAATTTACCAATGCCTGTCTCTAAGCAAGTGCATCCTGGCATTTTAAAGCAGGGCTTCAGACCGGTTCATTCTGGTTCAACCCCCTGCTGAGAATTTGCATTTCTACCCCAGGTATACTGAATCTGAATCTACATTTTAACAAGCCCCGGGGTGGGGGGGGGGTCGAACCAGAATGAACTGGTTGGAAGTCCTGTTTTAAAGGTGGTTTTTAAAAACAGCTTTTTGGAATCCACCATGGGTTTAAATGGGGTAACTATGAAAGAACAAATTTGACATTCTCTGCTAGCATGAAATATAAAACTCAACCCAAAAGCTAAATTAATAAAGGAACATGATAGCAGCTCTCACATGTAGTCACTAGACTCTCTTATTGCCTTCTGAAATTAAAAAAGTATATTCAAATTAGAAAATTCTATCAAAACCACATATTTTCTAGACATTAACATAGAAATGCTAATACCGGTAGACAAAGACTCTCAACATATGTGTGTTTCTGTAGAAACTGTAATTTTCCAAAGCAAATGCCATCCGGTTCTCATCTCTGTTTTAGTGTGACCCTGGTCTTTTGGGAAGCTGAACAAGTTCCAAAACATGCCCAAAGGCCAAATCTGAGAAATCAATGAATAAGTTTTACCAAAAGCTGAAGAGTTTCCAGTCTGCATATTATACTAGCACTGTTGTCTACAGAGGGACAAAGATAATTTTCACATTGTTATATGAAAAACAGGAAATAGCTTGCTGATTATTAAATTTCAGTGAAAATTTTGTAAATGGTGAGTGGCAAATCACCTTGCAATTTCTAATGGTCTACAGAGTAGGAGAAATATGAGAGAAAAACGAAACAAGGTCTGCCCTTAGTAGAACATGGTAGAATATAAGTGGTTGACATTCAAAATAAGAAGCTAATGCTTTGGTGAGGTGGCACCTGCTATAAGATGGGAAGGTGGGGTGAAGGGTGGAGGAGACTATAGTCATCTCTACATGAGCAGCGAATCCAAGAACTGAGCTCAAATACAGATGACTGTGAGTAACATCTTTGGTGCACTGAAGGTGAACCTTGGCCAGAGACATAGCAGTGAATGACATAAAAGAATGAAGGATGGAAATTATGTCTATGACTTCTGTTCGTGTGACATATAGAAGTACTGCAGAAGAGCTCTTAAAGAGAAACCAATTAACATAAACCAAAACCAAAAACCAAACCCACTGCTACTGAGTTGATTCCGACTCATACAGACCATACAGGAGAGAGTAGAACTGCCTCATAGGGTTTCCAAAAAGCAAGTGGCTGGCGGATTCAAACTGCCAACTTTGTGGTTAGCAGCTGACGCTTAACCACTGGGCCACCAGGGCTCCCCAATTATACATACTGACTACTTATTTTTATTGTTGTGTGCCGTCAAGCCAATTTTGACTCATATCGACCCTACAGGACAGAGTAGAACTGCCCCATAGGGTTTCCTAGGCTCTAATCTTTCTTTTTTTTCTTTTAAATAATATTTTATTGTGTTTTTCTAACTCAAAATGGATCAAAGACTTAAATATAAAATCCAAAACAATAAAGATCATGGAAGAAAAAATAGGGACAATGATAGGAGCCCTAATACATGGCATAAACATAATACAAACCATAAATAACAATGCACAAGCACCAGAAGAGAGACTAGATAACTGGGAGCTCCTAAAAATCAAACACTTATGCTCATCAAAAACTACACCAACGGAGTAAAAAGACGGCCTACAGTTTGGGAAAAATTTTTGGCTACAACAAATCTGATCAGTATCTAATCTTTAAAATCTACAAGATGCTGCAAAACCTCAACAACAAAAAGACAAATAACCCAGTTAAAAAATGGGCAAAGGATATGAACAGGCACTTTGCCAACGAAGATATTCAGGCGGATAACAAACACATGAAGAAATGCTCATGATCATTAGCCGTTAGAGAAAAGCAGATCAAAACTACGATGAGGTATCATCTCACCCCATCAAGGCTAGCATTAATCCAAAAAACACAAAATAATAAATGCTGGAGAGGTTGTGGACAGACTGGAACACTTATACACTGTTGGTGGGAATGTAAAATGGTACAACCACTTTGGAAATCGATTTGGCCCTTCCTTAAAAAGCTAGAAATAGAAGTACCATACGATCCAGCTATCCTGCTCCTTGAATATATCCTAGAGAAATAAGAGCCGTCACACGAATAGATATATGCACACCCATGTTCATTGCAGCACTGTTCACAATAGCAAAAAGATGGAAACAACCTAGGTGCCCATCAACCAACGAATGGATAAACTATGGTATATCCACCCAATGCAATACTATGCAACAATAAAGAAAGATGATGAAGCTGTGAAACATCTTATAACATGGAGGAATCTGGAGGGCATTATGCTGAGTGAATTTAGTCAGTCACAGAAGGAGAAATATTGTATAAGACCACTATTATAAGAACTCAAGAAAAGATTTAAATACAGTAGAAAACATTATTTGATGGTTACAAGGGCAGGGAGGGAGGGTGAGGGTTATTTACTAATGAGATAGTAGATAAGAATTATCTTAGATGAAGAGAAGGACAGCACACACTACAGGGGAAGTCAGCACAATGGGACTAAACCAAAGCTAAAAGTTTCCTGAATACAATCAAACA